ACCCTACCCTCGTTATAGTTGCTATCTTGGTAATTTCTGACCCACAGGGTATAAAGGTACCCCTCTCCATACCCGGGATTCCACAGCTAATTCAAGCCACGCAAGAAACTACTCTCTTCTTATCCCTGTTAAAGTGGTAAAAGGCAATACAAAAAAAGGTGGTTCTGGAGAGCTTCAGCTTTTTTTGTATTACCTTTATTATCTTACATGTTTATAAATATGTATATATGACTAGGTGTCTTCCACACACACACATACACACATACATACACACACTTACATACAGAGCATGTCACTAGTTTTAAATATTAGCCTTTAGGGTCGCGATAATTCTTTGTTCGAAAAAAAGCCAGTTGATTTTTGTTTCCTTTTTCATCCTGTTTTAGAGCGTTTTGTTTTTAGGGCGCAGCCAATCAAACAGCGGCAGAAGAAGGTGAAGCTGAATTGCTCCGACGATTTGGGCCGGTTCATCCGAATTCTGACGAAATTGATATACGGTTGAAGAATATCGACCGCCTTTGCTCATTTTTGTTTGAAAACGTTTCAGAACCACTTTACCGTCTAAACGATGAACCGATGGATATGGTACTTAGAGCAGTAAGTTTTATTTAGTGTATTGGTATCTTCTTCAGAAATTTTGGGTAGTTTGACACAAAAAATCGTTTTTTTTTTTTAACATTTCAGCTTAGAACCACGCAAAATGCAATATCAAATTTGAGTAGTATGTTGGTGCAAATCAAAGAAGGCGATCCAGATGTGCTGCAAAAATTCCAACGACGAGGGCCGAGCACGAGATTCGTGCAGTGGATGCCATCCTGGGCAAATTCTTCGGCTCGAGTGCAGAACAATCCGGTATTTTTTTTTTTTTTTGTTACTTTTGGACTGCTGGCTTCGTTTAAATTCTTAAAAATAACTAACTCGAAACAAACTAACCTAAAGAGCATTCTCGGACGAGGAAACAGTCTTGCTGGTGAAAAAAGTATTTGGCAAAATTTATTTGTTTGAGTTTGATGGGTTCTGAGTGAAATCATCTCGTTTTTGAACGTTACTATTCCTGGATCCCGGTGGAATTTTGCTAATATCAGTAGTTAAAGATGCAATTATTGCTTAGGAACAGAACTTATTAGCTCTATCCACAGGGTTTTGGACTTCTACTGATCTTAAGTTTCTTTTTCTCCGCTTTTTAGTAGATACATTCAATGTGTATTACAGTGATTTTTATGCGTTTTGTGCTGTGTAACAGCATTACAAAACGCATATTGTCACAGGATTGTCTGTGTGTGTGTGTGTTTGTGTGTGTGTGTCCCACATTTTGTCCCGCGCTTTCAACTGAGAACCACAAAAGCTAGGCGGCTGAAATTTTGGTATAATGTTCCCCACCAACGGGTGACGCGGCAGATCTAAATTCAGCCTTCCTGCACTCGCGGGTAACTCGTACGGCCCCGTGGAAGTTTTTTACGGGTAAATTGATATCTCAGGAACCACGGAGTCTAGGAGGCTGAAATTTTAGGGCATTGACCCCCTACCCCCGTTCAACCTTGCCTATTCAAGTGCAACCTTCCCGTACTCGCGGGTAACACGTGCGGCCCCGTGAAAGTTTTTTACGGGTAAATTAATGCGTCAGGAACCACAGAGTCTAGGAGGCTGAAATTTTAGGGTAATGACCCCCTGCCCACGCTCAACCCTGCCTATTCAAATTCAGCATTCCCGCGCTCTTGAGTAACACTTACGGTCTCGTGAAAATTTTGGCGGGTAAACTATTAACTCGGGAATCACGGAAGGACAGTCACCCTTCAAAGTTTCGAATTCAGCTTTCATGCGCTGTGCGTGAAATTTTTAACTGTTTTTCAATGTTTGAACTACTTTTGCATAGACTAAAGTACAAAGCAGTGAAAAAAATTAACTCTGGGATCAAGGAAAAATATTCATCCTTCAAGGCTTCGAATTCAGCTTTCATGCGCTAACTATTAACGCGGGAATCACGGAAAGATATTCATCCTTCAAGGTTTCGAATTTAGCTTTCATACGCTGGTGCATCGGGAATCACGGGAAGATATTCATCCTTCAAGGTTTCGAATTCAGCTTTCATACGCTGGTGCGGGGAATCACGGAAAGATATTCATCCTTCAAGGTTTCGAATTCAACTTTCATACGCTGGTGCATGAAATCGAAATCACGGAAAGATATTCATCCTTCAAGGTTTCGAATTCAGCTTTCATACGCTGGTGCGTGAAATTCCTCACGAAAAGATATTCATCCTTCAAGGTTTCGAATTCAGTTTTCATACGCTGGTGCGTGAAATTTTTGTCTGGTCTTCTTTTGTTTGAACTATTTTTGCATAGACTAAAGTACAAAGCAGTGAAATTCATTAATAGGCAATCGTTCGGTGAGCTGAATTGCACAAAACGCATGATCGCACCGGGTAGTCTGGTGCGCGTTGCTAACTTATTTTTTCTAGGCCGCTAATCGAACACAGCAACGACGTGGCGTATACGGCGCGGATGATTATGATGAAGATACGGTGTATTACAGACATGTACCATCAGTGCACAGTAATGATGAGTACGAAGGCGTTTTCGTTGTTGATGAGGATCAGGTTGAGGGCGAAGTTAGCACGGCTGGTGACGATTACTATGAAAATTATCCGGCTCACATGTAAAACGCTTCTGCTTTATTTCAACGATGTAAGCATCGCTTTTTCTTCTTGCGTATGTGCGTGTGTTTTTTTTTTTTTTTGTTTGTATTTCTTGATATTTTTAAAACAGGCGGGGGTGAGGGGCATTTTGTAGAACACACAGATGAAATGTAAAAATTTGCGAATTTTTTTATTGTTTTTTGAAATATTCCTCCTCTGCTTTCAGTGCCTGTTATTCATCATACCCGAATTACAAAATCCTAGGATGCTCTGGTGTGAATGTACATTTTTTAGATTGTTAAAGGGAATATTAGGTATGAGATCGACATAACCTTACTTCCTCTTATCCCGAAATTGAGATACATTATCTCCTGGGCACGGTTACCTTTCCCTTCTTCTTCCAACTAGCTGCTTTGTCTGAAGAAAAAAAATTTCTACTCCCCTTGTAGTTCCCACTACTGGTAAGACACTGGTATAACGCACTGCAG